TCTTAAAGGCACAAATGTGTTGAACTTAAAAGTTAAATACAACTGAATTGTACTGTACTTGAGCTGTGATGCTTTCACGAGGGGTCACCTACATTTGGCCTGTCAATCACTGCCATACCGATTTGATGGGGATGGATTTCAGAGATTCGGTCCAGACTGATTGATGAATTTAAAATGCGCCAGCCATGCCTGTCGTGTCTTTTGCAAAGCTGAAATAGTTCATTTGTCTGAAGACTACAAAATCACATTGACATTAAAAATAGAAAGGAATGATATCACACTCGATTTTTTTTTTTTTTTTGGTGGCTATAAACAGCACGTTTGCGTGCACCTGTCGGAGATAAAGCACAAGCAATCTTTGATCCCGGATGAGACAAAGCGGCTAAAATTATTCCTCTCTGATTTCCAGATGACACAACATAACACAAGACGGGCCGATAAGAGATCTCCTCATCCTGCCGACGGGCCGCCTTTGGCGCAGCCTGCGCGCTAATCGACGTTAGCCCTCTGCTGTTATGTAAGGAGCTCATCCCAGCCGCGACCTCCGAATGAAAAAGTGCAAACTGCTGCAAGATTTTCCCGCAGTTATCCCCGGCGGTGTCCCCGCAGCCTCCCCCAGCAGTGCGTATGCAAGGCCGTCATGCTGCGAATGAAATCAAGGTAGGCATCGGACCTGCTGGTCATCATCGCAAACATTAGCATATTTTGACCTGAGAGTCGGCGCTTGGAATTGAAGTGGATTTACATAGGAGAGGTGAACAAATCTTTTTTTTTTTGGGGACTTTTTTTGAATCCGTGGACATTACGGCTTCTTGTATACTTTCAAATTTAGCTTGTAGCAGACGTGTGGTACTCCATGCACGAGATGTGACAGCCCTCTTTAAATAAAGATGCATTGTATTGCATTGTATAGGAAAACCTCGTCGAACATTGTTGCTCATAGGCCGACAGACATTGCGATCGTCCTCAAACACTTATTATCAATTGCCATCTTTTCGAAGCTGGTTCTCTTGTGCTTGGAGGCCGGTTCCAGGAGAAGGATTGTGAATGTTCTGAATGAGTCATCATCCTGTCTCCGTCCTGACCCCATGTGTGTGTGTGTGTCTCTCTCTCTCTCTCTCCCTCCCTATCTCGTCATCTTCTCTCAATGAAAACCTTCGTCTTTGCGCCACATCCTTTTCACATCTGTCTATTCGTACGAGTTGGCGCGGAGACGACCGCATGCCGTCGACATCGCGGCGGCGTGGATTCCGCCGTCAGCTATATTCAACCGTCGGCTGGTAAAAAAAAAAAAAAAGCAGCGCGGAGGGTATTATGTTGTATTTTGATTACGTAACACGCGGTGACCTTGTGTGCAAATCCCACGGTTTACACCGCGGAGATAATGCAGTTGCTCACTTGAACGTGTCAAGACTGATGGGCGACTCTGTTTTGAAACGGTTCTTCCTCCCACCATCCACGGTCGACTTCGGCCATTTTGCCACTCGTTTCCGTTAAGTGCTCTTCACCGTTCCTGTGGAGCTGCTGCCGCGGCAACAACATGGCAGAGGTGCAGGCAGGCGGAAAAGTGAAAAAGCAATAAGCGTCACCCGCCGCCTCATGGATGATTGATGAGCTTCCGCAATATGCCGACGGCGGCTCGATTGATTAAGGCTGATCGATCCCCC